GGCTGAAGGGAAAGTAAATTTACGTCCGTACAGTAGAATGCAGAAGAAGAAATTTCAACACACTTCAGCAATAAAAAAAAGACACACAAATGTTCGTCTAGAGTAATTTGTGCTTATTAGTACGGATGAACTGGATCATCGAAGGTCAGAAGCAAAGAAATTGGTTAATAGAATGGGATTAAATACATAAAGGATATTTGTGTTGTTTAACAGGAGAGCTGTCAATCAATAAATTGAAAAAAAAGTAACTTGCGTTACGTATTTGAAAAAGTAACTCAGATATTCTCTTGTAAATTAAAACGTAATGCGTTACTTTACTAGTTACTTGAAAAGAGAAATCTGATTTCGAACTCGCGTTACTTGTAATGCGTTACCCCCAACACTGAACCTATCAGACTGCGCCATCTAGAGTTTCATGCCATAACTTTGTATATATGAACACACAGATAACTTGTTCACAATGAGATCAATAACATATTTAAATGATAGGGTGACCCCTTAAGGAACAGGAGAAAACAGTATGGTAGATCGTTTTAAAAAGGGATATCAGTTATAACACTTGAAATTCTTTTTGACATTGACGTTTGTATGGGGGTTTGTCCATTAATAATTGTGTGGAATCGATATGAAAGGTTAATGTGACCTGAAATTTTCAGCATATGTAGATGATTTTATGGACCGTGTAACTTTGAATAATTTGTTCTCTTTTTTTTTGTCTTTAAAAAGGGATGGAGCAACTGTCCATTTATCACTTATTCAACCCTTCTCATGAACATAAACTAATGTTGTTTTTTTCATATTTTTATTTTTAATAATTTTTTGCTTTTGTTGTAATTCTATTTGGTGCATTAGAGTAAAGTGTGAAGAAAACAAAAACAAAAATATATGTAAAACATTATATTAACAACGTGATAAATTCTCTGTTTTTCTGTTTCTTGAAGCAATCTGGGTTCCAATTGAGGCCTAGCTAATAAAAACATTGGCAGCAAATCAGAAACCATCCTGCTTTAACAAGCTCAAGCATTTAAAGTGGCAGACATGCTTGAACGGAACATTATTGTCTGCTGGTGTGGACGTTACATAATTATCATTATAGTCATTGTTCTTGAACAGGTTTTTAGCCAGGTGTGTGATATGAGCAAATTTGTCATGTTAACCTTCATGATTACACATAAAGCCTGCCACAAACCACCACCAGACTAGTCAAGGTTGTCACTTCACCACCCGGCCAGGCGGCTCACCTCGCTCCTATAGCGAGGTGAGCTATACGCCCAAAATACGCTGAAGATGGCGGCGCGTTCACACGCTGCGGCTTCTCTCTCTCCCGACAGAAAGGTGTTTTCGTGTTTTTTGTCTTGTGAGTCGCAGTGTTTTTGTACGTATTCGTCGCGTCTATCTGTC